ATGATTTAATGCAAGGGGAGAAAAGTCAAGCCTGTTCTGTGTTGTGTTATACAGAGCGGTATTTGTTATTTAGCCTACTCTATAATGCAATTCAACAGCAACACAAAATACGTCCTCCAAAATCAGCATACAGTTGAATCAACACCTCTCTGAAACACTTTCAGCAATGAACATTATAACCTTCATAAAGGTCAGATTTATTGCTGCACTGTTGTATTAGACAGCATTAGGTCTATCTAGGTGCACCTACAGTAATAAACTGGCACTTGGGTGTATGGGCATAACTCATGCTGAAAAATGAGTAGTCTCCTATTCTACAACATGATTATTTAAGGGATGTCTCTTGAGTAATTCTCTCAGACTTGACAAAGACTCCAGAGACTCTGAAGACATTATTCAACTGTTTACACATGCTTAGTACTCTGAATGAGTTTGACATGTAAATGTTCCTCTTTAAATGCTTATTTCCATTCATGCAATTTAAGTTTGAAACACTGTACACTTTATAAGCTGTAATTGGAAATAACCACGGGACCAGAGGGTACACATTACCATATGGTTAGAGGCAGACAGAGGAGCGGTCTGAGAGTCAGAAGATGGAGTTTGGCTAACATGAGCACACTGTGGCGAAGGTAAAGAGAATTTTCAAACAGCCGAGTCGGTTCAGAAAAGTCTTGGAGCAGAACTTGTCAGGTCAAAAGAGTCCCAATGAAAACACAACTTCACCCACCCTGCACCACATGTTCTCCTGCAACCTTTTTTTTTTATAGATTATACACTTTGCATGAATCTAAAAATTCATGGCAGTTTTTACACCTTATGAGAAGGAGAAGCTGGCATGCAAACTCAACCTTTATAAAGACTAATGGGTGCCATTAGTAACTAACTGTAGCCACTTTTCATAGCTGTCTGAATCAAATTCCCTGTTATGTAGGGAATCGTGGAAGTTATAATCTGACATTTGGCAGGTCAAACTGCTCGCATTGTGTGGGTGAAAAGGCCAGACAGAGTCTAGTCATTTGTCCCATCACTCCAATTGACACTGTTGTCCCAATATGTTCTGGATGTGTTCTTCTGTTTTTGTTAACTAAATCAGACTAAGAGTTATGCTTTTGGGATATAAAAAGCCCTTCTGTAAATCAGCATCGCTGGTGACATGCTAACTACCTGGCTAAAGTCAGGCTCAAACCTTGCAGTGCTATGATTAATGTGAGTGCTGGTCATGTAGAGGGCTCAGTGGACTGGAGCTAAATGGGTGACATTTTTCCAAGTCCACTACCCAGGGAATTGCCACTTATCAAAAGTTTACCCCCCTGCACCTGTGAGCGTGCACCATAAGAGATGACCGCCCCAAACTCTTATTACAGCTGTCAACAGGAAACTCTCCAAATCTTGAACACTTTCTGTGCAAAAGCCTCTCTTTTTTTCCTATTTTCTTCAAGAGCGTTATTTCTTTTCTTCAACTCGGCAGGTCTGGGAGTTTGATTTATGGAACTAAGAGAAAAATGTCATGAGGTGGGACTGCTAAAGGAGCGGGACTGTCGCCTCGGCGTTGTAAAATGCATGGCTCGGGTGCGTGAGACTCTGCGGCTCCTTCCTCAATCATTGCAGACGCGTGTTGTGCATGCACGAAAGCAAAAACAGACAAAAGATAAAACTGGTTGTGAAGTTGTGAGAGAGGAGGAAGAGCGGTGGATTGACAACTCTAGAGGAACGTGTTGGGATTGTTTATTTTTATTTTTCCGTGATCAAACAAAATCCATCTCTGCTTCTGCGGCGACCAAGTTTGGAACACTGATGAGACGTGCAGAAAGTGGATGGACCGGGCCACGAAGCGTGATGATGCTGGCTGAAAGGGTCGCCACTTGTAGGGAAGCGGCTACTGATTTATGAGGTTTACCAGGCGCCATGAAAAGTGGTGCTCGAGGGAGGAAGGGTCTTTTGTAAGAACTTATCTGTCTGCAATTTATCACGCCACCACTCCCACACCGACCTTTTGCCGCACACTGACCTGTGAGCTGGATACCAAACACGGTTCAGATAAAATGGACACTATAGCTGGTAGTGTGCTCGAAGCTATAGTGGCATTGTGGGTAATTGATACTTTGGTTCATTTTACTCCATAAGGCCTGAAAAGTGGAAATGAGTGATCAATCAGAAAGTAATTAAGTTCGCCTTGGCGGTCTGGTAGATGGCTTTCAAAGTGTATGCCTATTTCCAAGAATATAGCAGTGGCTGTTAACAAAGTGCACTAAGTCTGAGCCTATACATCCCTCAGCCATCGCTTTCTCTTTAGTCTGCAGTGCTCCAAATGAATTCATCTGGATCACAATTATGCACATAAATATCCGTTCATCAAAACCAATTTAGTGTGAAAAATGTAACTCAAGCTATAATGCTTGACTTTGGGTTTTGCCAGTTAAAAATCAATTTGTCTAACATTACCAATGTGTTTAATCTATTATTAATAACTCCAGATATTGTCTTGTTTCAGTGAATGGGTACACCATTTCCACAGTTCATTTGCCTCTGCGCCCAAATGATCAAACTTGCATTTAGCCACACGCAAGCTGAGATCTCTGGTGGCAGAGGCTCACCTCCACTCAGGCAGTTACCTTGTAGAATCTCCAGTATTGATGTACAATGTCATGTATAGAAATGGAGAGGCCGATGTAACATTGTGCCTACGGCTCGCCACTTGTGAGTACAGCATTGCAGATTAGATATTAAATAGAGAAGAGTGTCAGTGTCACTGTTTCTCCCTCCCTCTCCCACGCCATACGGGCCTTCTTCAGTCTCTCCCACACCATTTATGACTCCTCACCTTTCCCGACTATGAATAAAACAGCTTGTCTTGAATAATGTGGTAAGATATTGGGTGGAATGCATGATGAATAAAGAAACAAAGTTTTTCACTTCTGTGTTGGATTTTCTGCTCTCTGCTGCTGTTCCACCACAGGTTAGAGCAGAAGATGCAAACTGACTGAATATCGTACTCATCTGTTGGACCGTTTTTTATCTTGTACCTATAGGAATGTGAATTTGCATGAGGAACAGACGTGTGCGGCAGGGGAAAATGAAAATGGAGAAAACAAGAAAAGGAATTGATGATAATGCAGTCAGAGCTGCGGGTTAGGCTCACACAGTGTGAATTTCAAGCTCTTCAGCACTGTTGAACACAAATGTACCTGTGTGTGTAAACCCCATCACAAATAAACCAATGCTGCCTTGTCCATTCATGGCAATAGAGTACATATTAAGGAAGCAAGCGAAGAGGAGAATGGAGACAAAGAATAGCCTCTGTGAAGGACAGTTCCATTATTGGGAAGCAATTATGCAGGCACAAGACTGTGATCAGTCAATAATAAATATATTAATAATTCACTCACTACCAGTGCATCTCAATTGACCCCTAAGCAACTGAGCAAGTTGTTTCTCAATCAGGAAGAATTTAGTTGTTATAGATAATACATTTATAGCAAATAGCTATTAATGTTTGCTATATTAGTGAGAAACAAGGGGGTTGTATTGTGCAGTCCTGTAACAATTGAGTTGAGTTATTCATGTTAATAATTAACCACAATCACCTTTGAAATTCTAGTGGCTTAAAGAAGAACTGTTGTCCAATCAGCAGGCCACGGCTGCTGTAACCACTAGAAATAGCCATAACAATGAATATGGGATTACATCCCACGCTAACACTGTATATCTGGTGATAATGAAGGCACACTGGGTCAAAGCACAGCTGCAGTGCAGAGCACTTTCACATTTACAAAGGCAGCATCAGTTGTTCATTTGAAAATTGGTTGGTCAGCATGTGCAGTGATAGCCACCACGGCTGAACAGATAGCTTTGTTGTGTTTTCCTTTTCTTTTTTTTTATGAAGTAATTTAGATTTATTGTATTGTTATTTTTTAGTTCAAACACACACACACAAACACACACACATACACACAGACACACACAGAGACACACAGCCATTCCATTTCCATGACAGTGCTTGATTTGTTAAATTATGTGCACCTGCCACTGTAACAATACACTGTAGAAGGCATCAGCTGAAACGTTTGTTACTCTGCTGCATTGCCACAGAATAAAGATCTGAGTGTGAACCAGTTTACCTTCAGCTGAACAGACACAGAAAAGATCATCACCTACAAATTCATCAGAAAGTCTCCAACCAAGGCCTAGTTTGGTCACACAGATGGTGGCCTTCAGGTTATGGCTCATTTGAAGACACTTGTATTGAAAGATATCTCTTTATCTCTTTTACAACTATACATTTTGCCATAGAGACGTACAAAGGGTTGGAGTGATCTTTCTCTCCTCATTGTGATTCCAACTCAGGGTATCTGCAGACATTGGGTACTGATCTTTTTCAAAGATGTAATTGGAATAATTTTTATGTCTGATAAAAACACATTTTTTGATGAGTTTCCAAAACCCCCACACCCCCTTGTAAAAAAACAGAAAAACTTATGCTTGTGTTTGGGTTTTATTGTATGGATTCTCTTCAGATTCCTTAGCTCATAAACATTTTTCACATAGGGCCCTTATCCTCTTCTGCAGATAAGGCTGTAATGAGACAGTGTAAAAAATTCCAGAGCAATTAGAGCATTAATGGATTTGTCAGTGAAACTGGAGAGTGTGAATTAGCCTATCATGAGTATGTGCTGACGCCATCTAGCGGGGGTCTTATCCGATCAACTTTTATTTATATATATATATAGAGAGAGAGAGAGAGAAAGAGAGAGAGAGAGAGAGAGAGAGAGAGAGAGAGAGAAATATATGTAATGTGTGTTTAGGTGAGGAAGGGGGATACAGGGCAGCATTTTCTGGCATTTCTTCCGTCCTGCCTCCAAACACTGACCCCTTGATTCCCAATTAAGGAGGTCTGGATGGCAAATGAACAAAAGATGGCAAGAGAGCCCCCCCCCCTCCGATGTTTTAAGGACATATTGGCCTCCTCACTGTAAGATATAACAAAGCCAAATGGGCTCCAACCCAAATGGCCTCCCTCTGAAACTATTTGATTTGCACACAACCGGGAGAGTACGTGCGACTAATCCAATCCAATTTCCGGACACACAAAGGCTCGGTGATTCATTGAAAAACCACAAGAGACAAACTGTGGAGCTGTGCTGCTACACCTCCTGGCATTTCTAATTCCAATAAAGACACCGGCACCATTACGGCTGCGCTGAGGGCGCTTCAGAGCGTCCGTAACGACTCCTGCCTGACTGCTCAGGGCTTCCTCGCCAGGGAGTCGTGTTCAGAGAGAAACGGCTTATATTGACGTCAAACGGACATGTGAACGACTTTCCCGCATGTGCTGGTATGACAGAGGCGACCGCAGCTGCCAGTTGTGAACAAATGAGCACCGAAATCCTCAGCAGACAATTAACCTGAGAGAGCGCCGCCGGGCTTTTCCATTAGCCAACACTGTAAGATCCGGTTATATTTTAAACTTTAATTGATGCTCCGCTTCTCCAAACTCGTTGTGAATTCAGGGTTTAGTTGTGAGACGCTGCATCCCGCTGCTGACAGAGAGACCACTTGTACCGCCGTCACAACTGTGCCAAGAGACAGGGAGTCTTTGAGAGCCACCGGAGCGGACCCGACCGGCATATCAATCAGCGTCCCGGAGCGCGACTCGCTTGGTTCGCGCCGGCGATAAAAGGCATTGTCTTAAAGGTGCGTGTGTGTTCGTCTGCGTGTATGGGGAGCAGAGAGGGGGGAAATGGCACTTTTTCCGTTTGAAGAAGGAAGGACAGCAACAGTCAGTGGCAAACAAATGTAAAAACCCAGTCCCCCTCGTCTCGCCACGGGTGCGCACCGGCGGAGAGGCGCAAGACCCGCAGGATCATCGATTCGCACTTTGTGATCTTGCGCTGCGTATATGTGACAGGAGCAGAGAGGAAGCGGTGAACGGCGGGATTAAGGGCTGCTCCTCCTGAACGAAAGACTCAAATTATTTAACCATGAACACCAGGATATTGTTTTTGCTTGTTTGTTCTGCGGCATTTTTCGCTGGGCTGCAGTGCGCCTCGCCGAGGACCACAGCGGGGATGGATCCCTCCACCGCCGGCTTCAGCAACAACAACAGCGGCGGTGGCAGCAGCGGGGAAACCGGGGGGAAAAGAGACTTGAACCAAACCATAAACTCCAGGATCAAGAGGAAAACCCTGGCCGTGGATTTTGCGGTCCCTTCTCTGTTGCGCTATTACCTGGCGGAGTTCATAAAGAGACCCCTGAATGGAGACTGCCAGACTTTTAGCGGATGTTACACGGTGCATGCAAACTTGCAAATGCACTGCATACCTTTGCAGAAAACCATATCTACTTTTGTGGACACGAAGTCCGCTACGGACTCTGCACTGAGGAACACGTCCACTGATGGACAGCTCCCTTTCTTCCTCAAGCGGCCGCTGTCCAAAGTTCTGAAATTGGGCTTGACGAAAGCCAGCAGGAAATCGAACCAAGTTGTGGTGGAAATAGGAGAGGATATAGTCAGGACGGGATGCGGGGGGCTGTCTGTGTACGAGGAGGCCCCAGTGTTCACCTTGGAAATGGACCTCACAACTATTCTGGAGTGGTGGCTGGGTGCAGAGGGGGGCCGGCTCAGGGTCCGGCTCATACCCGAGAAAAAGGCGCAGGTGCCCGGGATCGAGGATCGATACACCGCGGCCATACGAGCTGCAGACCCCCGCCTCTTCCTTCACATATCATCCCGGGGTGAGTTCCCCTCTTTCTCTCCCCCCACCCCCCTCCTCTCTGGTTCTTAATCACTTCTCCTCATGTTGCCTCCCTCACCCTCCCTCACCCACACGCGCGCACACACACACACACACACACACACACACACACACACACACACACATACACATGAACGAGTCGTGCAGCAGGACCCATCAGGCCCAATTCTTGTCGCCCCGTCACGGTTGTGATTTGAGTTCTGCTGTGATTAATTTTTGATGTTGAATCCAGTGTGCCTAAAGATGCGTGTTGCTGTGCGCTCTGACAGGCTTTCATGGTGAAAATGAGCGGGTAAAGAAATGTCAGCACATGGAGAAAGACCTGATATTTGCAGTGGTCTAATGGGAAAATGATGAGGTGTGTGTGTGTGTGTGTGTGTGTGTGTGTGTGTGTGTGTGTGTGTTTGTGTGTGTGTGAGTGTGTGTGTGTGTGTGTGTGTGTGTGTGTGTGTGTGTGTGTGTGTGTGTTTGTGTGTGTGTGAGTGTGTGTGTGTGTGTGTGTGTGTGTGTGTGTGTGAGACAGAAGAAAATGACACTTAGAGAATTCTGTTGCTGTGATCCAGTGGACCCTCCACAGTCCTGTTTCATTATTGATGTCCACAGCAGTGCTGAGAGACAAGCTGCATGTTGATTTAATTTCCAAACTCTTTGATTGTTTCCAGTTGGGATCCATGCTGGGTGAATGCAGCATCTTTAGAAGCTTCTATCCTTATCGGTTCTGAGATGTTTTTTTACTATTTCATTTGAAAGGGACAGAGGAGCATCATTGCCTGATAATAACATGCATGTATATGCAATAAGACCTGTACGGAAATGATAGAAGTTTGAGAAGGCATTGGCAGGGCTCCTCCATCTCCATCGGTTTCCTCCTCAACGATACCTTCTCAATTCCCAGAGCCACCCACTGCTGAAGGAAGGAAGGTAGGAGATTTAAGAGAACGGGCTTTATTTTGATTAGGCACAAATTAAGCCATTATCTCCAAGAAAGATTTAGCACTCAATACTCGAGGGCCCTTCCCTCGTTCTTCTGAGCATCGGCACAATCAGTGTAATTGCTTAATCACTTTGATGAGGGAGGTTGGCCCAGAAAAAATGCAACGGAACCTATCAGACAAAAGCAAAGCAGAGGCCGGCTCGGCTGGAAGCCCCCCTGCAGGCGTGTTTGCACGCAGAAACATGCGTATACACAAAAAACTCAGTATGCAATAAGTCCATATAATGTAGTCAGTTGTTACATTTTGTGTTGGTTACCACATTCTGCTTTTGGTTGCATTTTTTATAAGAAATAATAACATGGCATATGTTATACCAGGTTGAGATTAAATGCATGAGTGTGTTTCAACTGTGAATGTTAATGCAACGATGCACACACACACAAACATGCTTTATACAGCTGTAACTGTGGTAGAGAAGCTCTGAGTGGACCACCCCTGCAACTCCCAGCAGGCATTCCCACAACACAGCTGGCAGTGTTTGCAGGTGGGAAGCCAGCAGGGGATGATGTTGTGTTTTTTACTGTAGCTGCTCTATTAGTGTGCTCCATTCTCATCATAGAGGTGCTCTTATGCAAAATCACTGGACCCTAAATCTGTTCCAGCAGAGCTGGTCAGTGGCCAACAGGTCAGACTGGTTGTACTGGGTTGGGTCCAGCTGTGAATGTGTGTAAGTGTGTGACCAGTAAAACAGTGTTTGCACTCAGCACACCTACTCTTTATAAATAAAGCTTTGCCTGGGTTGAGGCTGAAACATGCACAGCTCCAAAATCTCAGCTACACATGTTGTGTTTCTGCAAAATTACATCATCAAAATCTTTCCCTAAACATAACCAAGTTGTTTTTGTGCCCAAACCTAACCAAAAAGACAAAAAAATACCCCCACCTACGCACTGCTGTCTCCTTCCTAGTTTTTCTTTTATTCAAACCATAGTTGTGTAAGAAGAAGACAGTTCTATTTTTGCAACAGTGATTTGTAACACTTTTGGAAGGCACAGACAAATGATGCCGTCCTGCTGATAGGGATCAGATCAGAAAGCGCTTCTATGTGTCATTCTGGAGGGCAGTTACAAACGACTTATTCTGTTGTTTAATTTGGAGAACTTGTTGGTAGTCCACGGCAAACCGTCAGTGGTTGAGCAGAGAGTAATATTCTGTGCTGCAGCAATGACATTGCTACTGCATATTCAGGGAGAGTGTGTGTGTGTGTGTGTACAGCAGTTCTGGTGAAGTGGTCACAGACGAAACACTTTTTGCCAAACACGTACATACTTGCATCAGTAAAGGCAATGGCTGTAGAACTGAAGACCATTTAAAAGACAGCCCTTTAAATGATCAAACTTTGAAACATTAGATCCAATAAAATATATAAATGCAGCAAAGAGAGAGAGATAACGAGATATAAGCTTCATTTATTAATGCACACTAATATGTGTGGAAGTGCAAAGTGTACAGCTCTTATTTGAATTAACAGGCTGCCATCCTTTGTTTATTACATCCATAATCATTTCTCTTCTTTTATATCTCCACCATCCTTCATCTTCACCTAACCCAGAAATTGATCAAGTCTTTAATCATCGAGGAAGTCGGCTGCTCAGAGGAGCAAGGAGAGGCTTCCTGGAGGAAGCTTCAGCAAGGAAATACCATATAAGGGAACCCATTTATTTGAAATCCATTATGATGGAGGGGCGCGTCGAGACCACAGTGACTTTGTCAAACTACAGCGTGGACAGGACAAGTAGCATTATTTGTACACTGCCAAAGCATTACATTTATCTATTTTTATTTGTCATGGTTGTTTTATCATCTGTGTGTTTGTAGGTTATAACATTACAGTTCAACAATCAAGTGACAAAAGTGTTCAAAGCCAAAACAAGAACTCACTGGGATTATCAGGTACCATGGTTTAAAAATGTGCTAGATTAAAATCTAACTAGCCTATACAAAGCTAAATAACAACTGCCCAAGGCTTCATGTGGATACTTAAAAGTAGACTCTGGGGCAGTACCCGACTCAGAATTTTGTCAGTCAAGTCAGATTTGTGTGTTCACTACAAAGATACGACTATTTGAGTCTCATGTTTTAGCCCACCTCACGTTTTAATGCTTTAAAACCTTCTTCCTCATCTGTAAATCATGTGAAATCATCAGATTTCCACACAGTCAGAGAAAGTAAAAGTGTGCATCCTTCTCATGGTTCAGTTTTAAAATCCCAGCACACCATGGGGCGTCTTTCCTGCTGGTCTGCTGACAGCGATGTCAGCCAAAGAGTCAATCACAGTGGATGGCAGTAGAGGAGGTTGTATCTCCGTCTGGTTCAGAAGTGGTTTAGCTGACTTTACTGACAGTCAGCACCTGAGCAGAGAGTGTCGGAGCAGCCGCTGCCCTGCTGTCCAGTGTCACACTGCCCACCATTAACTATCACTCTTCTCTGCTTAGATCTGCTTAGTTTTGTGGTTTGTGGTCATTTTGAGACTTGGTTTGTAAATTTTATAGCCGTCATGCTGTCGCTCTCTGTACAATGACACGGATAAATGCAGAAATTCAAGTGACAAAATGCCAGTCGACTTAGGGTCTCCTCGACTGATGATTCAAATCGTCAAGTTTTTGTAGGCAGGCCTAGATGGCACACACTATTTATTTTTTCATTATCTATCTATTTATTAGAGCTTTTACTGTGGAAAAATAGGTCTTTGGAGCGTATTTGGGACTGTTGACTGTTTTTTTTCTTTCTTTGTTTTTTTTGTTTCAAAAAAGGTTGTGGTGGTTGTCAGAGTGATGAGCACTGTCACCTCACACATCAGCATGCAGGTCAGGCGAGTGGGTGCCTGTGTAATTGGATTGATGGCACGATGTCAGCTGGGATAGAACAATTTAATATTACAGTTTATCAGCCATTAGCAGAATATTATTGTGATCATATGTCATGTTATCGTTCTACAAATTTATAATGTCCATATTAATGATTGCAAGCAAACTGTAATTAGACCAAAAAGCAGCTCGTTGCTTTGAACATCTGTTCAAAGAGTTATTTCTTGACCTTGCAAATAGTGACAAAATAATCTCAATTCAAGGCTCACGTTAGCTCTTACCGGCGCTTCTAGTCTTTTAATTGGAGCTTGCTCAGTTGTCATGTAGATGGACCAATTAACATGTGATCAAAACTTCGGTCGAGATAAGATAGTCATACCATATATAATCAGTATTATTATTTTTATGTGATTTTGCACATTTATAATATTGTGTGGGTATATATCAATATTGGTCGGGGTGCGAGATATACCGTGTATCGGGGCCAATAATGGGAAAGTTATATAATGGATTTATTTTGACTTCTTATGTAAAACATTTGATAAGCTGTATCCTCTATGAAAGTATGCTTGTAAAGTTTTTGATGTACTATTACTAGAAAACATAAATGAACATCTGAAGAGTCAGAACTGTTGTTGTTGTGTTAACAATAGAGATGTCAGTTAGATTTGGTTGATCAGAGCTATGCAATGTTAAATGTTCCATCTTTGCTCACTACATCTAAGCCTTTCTTACCCTTAGGTGGGTATAAACTACAGGTTACAGAACTTCTTTTTAAAATACCAAAATGTGAAACTATCATTATCTTATCAGTATCGGCCACGAGAAGCTGGTAGTTTATTTTATTGGCAGAAAAAACAATCCGTATCTCCAACCCCTCACAACTCTTAGCAGGATAAGTGAGTACAGAAAATGGATGAATGGTTAAAATTGGGAAATGAGCAGTGTGTGTGATATGTAGGTGCATACTCAATAGGAGTACCCATACACTCACTGCAACTCTACAACATTATTATGACATTCAGTTTTTAAAATTGTCAGCATCAACACATTTGTATTTCAAGCCAAGGACTAAGATGTAGCTTTTGCCTCGTTTTAGGGAAGAAAGTGACAGTTGTCATACAGAGTAACAGGGACAGCCCCAAGTCTCCACTTTGGTTCCACACACCACAGGTGGA